GATAGAGAGAGGGGGAGAGAAAAAAAAAGAAAAAAAAACAGATAATCTGCTTTAATGTCTGCTGAAGAGAGTAAACAACAACCAACATCTGTACGAATCCCATCGAAAAGCAAACGTTAAATGTTGTTGAACAGCGCACACACCCAGCATTACAACACAACCCCAGAAGCAACAGCCGATCAAGACAGCACTAGTGAGCACCTGACCGCACACCTGTGTGTGTCAGTGCGCTGGTGTTCATAAGGTTTCTCCATGTAAATGTCTAGTAGTGTGTGTGGGGAGCCATAGCCCCGCCCCCCCCAGGACATGAAGCTGACACGGAGGAGACCCGGGCCCCAGACATCCAGAGGCCCCCCAGGGCACGGGAATCCCAGGAGGACCACCGCAAGGACAATTGCAGCCCCCACCCAGAAAAGGGCAGAGGAGCACTCCGGAGGGGGGCCATCCGGCAGCCACATCGCAGGAGCCCCAGGGGGCCGTGGCGGCGAGCACGCAGGCTCCGCCAGCAGCTGGCCACACCAGGGCAGACCGGACCCCGGGCCCAAGGGCCCCCCACCCCCCAGCCGGGACCCGACAGAGCCAGGAGGGCCAGGCCCCGCCAGGCAACCGCCAAGAGTGAGCCAGCACACACCAGAGCATCCAGCCCCGGACATAAAGAACCACCAACACATCGGCAGCTGGGGGCACACACATACACAAGCATACGTTCCCACCCTCATGCACACACAAACAAATATTCACCCATTCGCCCCACCCTGGAGACACACAGAAATGAACGCCGTACACACACTCACACTCCCCATATATACTCCATACTCCGAGATCCAGGCACCACCACCCCCAGAGCGGCAATCCGCCACCAGACACCAGAGATGGACCCCTTTTTTCCTCTGGCGTGGGGACAAGAAATCCACCCCGGACAGCCAGCTCTTCCCAGCCCCCGGCCCCAGATGGTGAACAGAGAACGGGGGTGTGAAAAGACCCCATGCTTCCCTCCGCCTGCTCATATGTGGTGTTGGTGCGTGTTCTTCTAAAAGTGCTTTAAAACAGGGGAAGGGCATGGCACTAACCACCCTCTGCCAATCAACAGCTGGTGTCAGCTCGGCCCCTCCCCAGAACCCTCAGTGTCTATGTGCGACTTAAAATTGAGGCACTGGCACCAGAGGTAAGGCTGAGTAAACAGACCGCCCTCCGGATGCCATTTTGTGTGCCCACCCCAAGGCCCTAAATGTATGTGTCATGAGAGAGTAAATAATGAGTGTCTAAGTTGTGATGTGTGATTGAGACACAGGTGGTCACGGGGGGACAGAGGAGGAATACCTCCCCTGCATCCCAGCAACACACCTGCACCTCAAAGCCCTACATGTGTGTTGGTGTGATGGAGCGGGAGGAGGGAAGCACTTAGGGATGGGGAGGAAAGGATCGGGGGGGGGGGGCAAAATACCCCCCCTCTGGAGCCAGCTCCCCCGCTGACCCCCATAAGCACCCCCGTTCCCTGAAATCCACCCAGGGTGGGGGGCCCAGGCCCATCCAGACCGGGGCTCAGAGCAGCGGCACCACCGGGCACCACAGAGCCCGGGGCGGCCAACCGGACCCCACCACAGAGGGAAAAACTACACCCACCCCACCATTCAGTCAACTCCCAGACTACATAAGACAATAGACACCCAGGTTGAGTCCTTTCTCCTCCTCTATTGGATCCCCCCTCCCCCCCCTGCAGAGTGGATACCCCTAAGGCAGGGACCACCTGCGGACAGATGGTAACAATCCCCGCACCAGGGCCGGGCCCCAGTGCACACGCCAACCCACACCCCGGCGACACACCCACCAGGACCCAAGCCCCCCCCGGCCCAGCCGGAA